AATTTACAAGAAAAGCTCTAAATTAATTTCTTATTTCTGTAGCTTTGAGCTGACAATGAACATTTAGGGCTTTTCTTGTATACTCTATAACTTTGCAAAGAAAGGTCGTGTAGAGCTGGGAGACGTCTCATTTTAATCACACGTTTGCGTGCTACAAGCATGCCTCATTAAGAAAGCTTTCGGTTATTTTTTAGAGTTTTTTAAACACTAGTTTTCCAGAAAACTGGGTCTTTTTTTTGAAAACTTGTTTTTCGTCAAAAATATACAGATGACATGTCTATAGATGTAGTTTTTGATGGAGATCACGAATCTGCTATTATTTTTGGCAAAATATGCACTAGAAGAAATGAAAATCATAAAACACGAGCGCGTTTAACCATAGGGTTCAAGAGATTTTCATAATTCAAAGCCAGTAACCGTTGTATGGGCTACGGATTATACTTATAAATTTCATTTTTAATGGGCATTGATTTGGTATATAATACTCTGTGATATCATTTGTAGTTTGAGCGGTACCCCCCCTGAAAAAACATTTTTTCCGACCCTGTACATAATCTGTGAGGTTTCAAAGAGATCTTTGAAAAGCCATCGATCCATTCGTGGTTCAGATCCAATTATTTCGGCCTGATCTATAATTAATAACTTATTTTGGGTATTACAGTTTATTTAGATGAGAAATGACTGAGTTATGAATTTTCTTGAAAGATAGATAGGTCGCCAGAAAACCTCTCTACTCATCAGCTATTGGGTTGAAAACTTGAATCGTGCATAGCTTGAACGAACACAGTCTAACGCTTATGGATCCGTCACACTCATCAGTCACAGAAATAGTGACTAATGAGTGTGATGTGCGGACAGACATATAGTCATGTGGCAGTGTGACGGACGTACATACACAGGATCACTAATATGTGTCACGGACGTATATCTACATGGGCATATCCGTGCAGGTTGGCTGTGGAATCAGAGAAGTATATACCAGACCTGTCGTGGCTCCGAGTGCGGACCGTGAGCATTGTTTCGAATTTAGGAATATTTTTAGCCCTCTGGGGGGTTTCGAGATAATTTTTATAGATTTAAACTACATTATGAAGCTGACACTCAAATCAGAGAAATATTCATATCATGTTGTAGACATTTTAGGTGTTCTTCTCCTGGATTCGATCGTCCGACCTTTCATACGCTATACTTCTCCAACTACACATTTTCCCATTGCACTAAATTGTGCAAAAGGAAACTACGGATTATGATGATGCATCCGTATGAAGGCAGCACACTTATCTATATATTTAAATAGTCTTTACAAGTGATCACTCACATGTTACTAGCTGTACTATACATAAGAGTCGACCACATTTTAACGTATACACGGCTGTCAACGGATGCAGCGTCCTGACTGTATATCAGACGTCCTTTTTTTGTACTCAAAGGACTGTACCATCCATGAGTACGAGAAGACGCTACGTCTGATACAGAATTTAGACTAGTCCCTTAATTCAAAAAATCTGTAAAGGAAGGAAGTGTAAGATTCTTATGAAAAATATGACTGACTACAAAAAAATCGCAGTACAGTACTGAAAAACAGCCGACACTACTATGTACCATTGAGTATTGGTAAAGATAGCAAAGCTCCATATGGACTCAAAATTCTGAGTCCAATCCACTCCATGCACTGGTAAAATCTAGTCTAGTCCATTTCGAGCCACGTAAAATAGTATTTTCAGTCCATGGACTCTAAAAGCTAGCCCATTCCAGTTCACAGTACAAAAACAGCATGTCTTTTACTGATTTTCCGTCGATTCAAGTGAAAGTCTGAGTCCAAGTCGGTCCAGTCCAACTCTAAGAACTCAACAAATTTTAAGTTCAGTCTACTCCACATAGACTAGATTGGACTATGGACTCAGCCCAGTCCATACGGAGCTCTGATAGATACATCATGATCAGTAGCAAAAAATTGTTTATCCGGTAGTCTACGTTCTCAAGTTATATGCGGATGGATATGTGCATGCGCATGAATATTGTCTGTTTAATAAAGAAATACCAATATTATTTCGTCTGACTTTCCACTTATTCAATAGATAACTGTAGGTTCCATCATAAATAAGATAGTTAACGGCTTGCACTATCGTACAACATAATGGACTATTTTTCTGACACAATATTCCATAGGGTAAAATATTATAGGGCAGCCCTATCTCTTTCAAATAACCTTTATACTGATGTTTAAGATTGTAGGTAATAAGCGGTTCATCTTGTATACCGAATTGAGCTTGTCCTGATTTAACGGCCTCAAATGTTTCATGATTTGTTTCCACTGGTACACTTTTCACTTTTTTGTTCGACGGACAGGATACTGTCTCAACATCTGTTTGTTGTGTTGAACCGCGTAATGAGGTTACCGAGTAACCGCATAAATCTGCCAAACGTTTCACATTTGTTGTATCATTGCGTCGAGCAAATAATTGTGAACCAAATTTAAAATAATCAATGAAACTTCCATTTTGTTGCTGACGCTGCTTTGTATCAGTGATTGAGCTAAGGGATAAATGAAATTTATTCTTTTTGACAAATGAGAAGAGTTGTTCAAATGATTTAAGAGAATATACGATTTTTAAACTTAGAATAGAACCTATTTTATTCATCATATCAATTGAAAATCCAGTTATTGGTGCACTCTTATTATTGGTAATCACAACTAGTGGAGAATCATCAAATTTAATCGTGCTCACATACAATTTTGCCATACGTTGAACTCGATTAGGTATGTGAATTTTCTCAACATCAGAACAAATATCATTACCATAAGTAGGAAGAACGAAAAGTATGATTGCACATACTATACAATATCGTATAGAAAACATTTCTGCCGTCAAAGTACGATGGTAGTACTATGTGTACACTGATTTATTAACGATATATCTGTTTTGTGCACTCACTCGTATCAGACAAAAGTGCACGAGGTGTGAACATATGTTTGTTAAGGATGAAACAACTACAAAACGTGTGATTATATATACATTGTGAAACGGCTATTCGATATTTTCTTTTTTCTTTTCTACCGATTAGTCATTCAGATATAATAAGCAAAAAACTGATTAAATCTTTAGAGTATCGATAAATATATTGACAGTTCGCCATACTTGTTACTATACTCATATCTATATGTTCGAATCACGACGGTCGCATGATAGTCTTGGACAAGCTATCTAATGCTCATTGTCTCGGTACCTTTGGACATAGATGCAATGGGGTAACCCGATTTCAGTGCCACTGGACTGGAGAGATGAGAGTTAAAGTTTAAAAAAAACAAAGAACCAAATATTAGATTCTATTAGGGTGGCGATTTTAAACCAAAACTTTACTACAAAACTCGAGTCTGTAAAGATATAATTTTCGTTACAAACGGGCGTCAACTTCACTAATCTGAATTTCCACTACTTGTAAAAGATTCACTGTAACATGTTGACGTTCGTGATTCATCATTTTCTTTATTATCATCTGTTATATTTTTAGTTTTAAGTGTTGTCTGCCGTTCATTACGTTACATTATGTGAAAAAAACAATGTACAACTAGTTACATAGTTAGTTGTACATTGTTTTTTTCACATAATGTAAAATATACATACGAATGTTTAACAGTCAGTGTTTGATCATATGATTTAATGATCCATAACAGGGACCAAATGATAGCAACATGTGTCCACTTTTTCCTGTTCTTGCGGTCTAGGAGAAAAAAAAGACAATAATAATCCTGGTAAAAGCTTCATTTTCGTCAACAACAATTATAAGTTTTTTTGCTTTGTTGGTTTTGGACCAAC